ACAAGAGACCAAAAAATGCAGATGAGTTGAAGGCCACTGTCAAAGAAACCTGGTCTTCCATACCACCTCAGCAGTGCCACAAACTGATCACCTCCATGCCATGCCGAATTGAGGCAGTAATTAAAGCAAAAGGAGCCCCTACCAAGTATTGAGTACATGTACAGGAAATGAACATACTTTCCAGAAGGCCAACAATTCACTAAAAATGTTTTTTTTATCGGTCTTATGAAGTATTCTAATTTGTTGAGATAGTGAATTGGTGGGGTTTTGTTAAATGTGAGCCCAAATCATCACAATTAAAAGAACCAAAGACTTAAACTACTTCAGTCTGTGTGCATTGAATTTATTTAATACACGAGTTTCACAATTTGAGTTGAATTACTGAAATAAATGAACTTTTCCACGACATTCTAATTTATTGAGATGCACCTGTATATCATTCTTGAATGATATGGGGGAATTCCTTCATAATATTTTATAGATTTTTTTTTGCGTTTGTGTAAAATGTTATTGTTAATGAGACTGAACAGTTTCCACAGATCTTTCTTTCTTTCTTTTTACATAATGTCAATGGAAATCTAAAAGCAAAATATATAATATGTCTTTCACAGTCATCATTACCTGAAACTCCTTTGGATCCGCAATGTTCCTGACCAGGAAGTCTGTAATTGTTGTTCCTTAAATTCTTATTAGCAAAACTGCACACAGCTTTCTTTCTCTTTTTTTTTTAATGTCTGCCAGTGAAAACTATTCGTGGAAGTCATCCCTGTCTGTAGCAATGTTTCTGATGGAGCCCAGACCAGAGGAAATGCCAGGCGTTCCCAGATAAGCTAGCTTTCCTCCATTCTGGAATAAAGCACACTGCAGACCGGCCACATTCTCCCAGGGATCAAATAAAACCCACCCAGAGAAGTCCTCTCTTTGCCGCCATTCAGAAATATTAAGACTCTAGAATAGTATTTGAGCCATTTTCCAGCAAAATCCACATAACATGCTTTCTGAATGTCTGCTTTCACAATAGTAGCCATCCTACTGCCAAAAGTGACACTTTGATACTTGGAATTTTGAGGATCATAATAAATGAAGAAAAATGTAGCTTTTATTTAAACTTGCTGTCAAACCAACAAGCAAAAAATAGCTCCAAAGTTTAGATTTTGTTTACAGTTTTTTTTTAAAGATATTCCTTTACACACCATTAAAGGTTAAGGTAGATGATCCAATTAAACTTTTAATTTTGCTATAAAGACAGGAAAACTTGTAAAAATCTGGACCTGGGAACTAATGGGCCCTTAATTTACAGCAGACAGCAAAACCATTTGCCTTACTGATGCAAAGAGGCACTGGTCCAAACTCTTTTGGCCCAAGCAATTATGTTCAATAAGACTGAGGCGGAAGTATGGCTCTATTAAATGTGCTTTTAGCATATTATATGCTGTCCTGAAGATATTTGTGACATTTAAGTTTCTAATACTTGCTTTGCCATTAATGTACGCTGCAGTAATTTCTCCACAGAAAGCTGCTGAGCAGAATAGGTTTGCGTTAATATATTACTGTGTTGGTAAATGGAGTACAGTATGTTCTTCGCTCTCTGCTTTATATTAATAAACCAAATAATCATGGGGACTGTACAGTACACAGAATGTGGCTTGGAGTGTTGTCCTGGTTTTAGTAAAACATTGAGCTGCGTTTACTGATTAAAGGTCAGCCTGGCATGAACCTGTAATATGGGTGCAGATTATTTATTTACATGAGGATCTAAATATTTCCTTACTAGTCTTACATTCTGTCTATATAAATACTACCTAGAAAGAGACTTGCGTTCTCCATTATTCTGTTTTCTCTTTGATAGATGATCATTGGAAGCCTGAAACAACTAGCAAGTTGGCAGAGTGAGAAACCTGGATGGTATAAATCAGCAGGGAGGCCACAGGCTCCAGGAAGGTGAAACAACATTTAAAATGTCTGATGTACCACTTATTTTTCCACTTTAAGCTATCAAATGTAACATTTTGAGTACACAAAGTGCAAGAAAAGCTACTGGTTTAGTGTGGTTGACCAAGAAGCAACGTATCACAATCTTCTTTTCTGGTGTTCGATAACAGTCAAGTCAAGTCAAGTCTGTGCTTTCTTGGCCAGTGCTGCGGTGTTGTCAGCCCAGGAGCGATCCTCTGTGACATTTTTGCAGGAGAGTGTTTATAGTCTTATATGTTGGAACTAAGTTTATGCCAAACTACACACCCTCTTGCAGTGTGGTTACTACCAGAGAGTACAACCGAAACTGCCCATTCAGCAAGGTTGTACGGAGGGTCAGCAAGAAGCATGACGGAAGCTTTACTAAATAAAGGGGAAATTTGTGGCCGATGTGAGGTCCTCCTGCTTAAATCAGCTAGTTATATGGAATCGTAAGGGCTATAATCGTGGTCACCTAAATACGACCCTTAGATTAAGGAATGGAACGGTTTAGCCTTGCTTCATGGCAAAGAGAGTAAAAAATAGCATGCTGAAGAACAAGATGAAATAATGTCTGGCTGTAATTAACCCATGTTTGACTCAGATATTTTGCTCCAAGTATTCCTTTTCTATAGTTACAACAGTGGTGCTAATCACTGGTTGAGAAACCCAACCATTTTAATTTAGAATATGCTATTATTTCCAAAATAAACCAGTGAAAAACTGTAATGCCTCAAACATATGGGATTTTTTGGATGAACATGACTTTTTGAAACTTGCATGGCAACATGCTATGTTAACCAAAGAAAAATCTTTTTTGCTAAGTTTTCCTCTCCTTAGATTTTAAATTAAACATATCTGAAAAGACAGATTAAAATGATAATTGTAAATATACATTTATAATTGTAAACAAAAGTGTAAATATATATATATATAAAATAAAAAATACAAATATATATATTTTTTGTTATAAATAAAACTAATTAAAAAATTAATAAAGCAAAAAGGCTATTAAATATTTTGTCTTTTCTATATGTTTATAAATGCAAACAATTTAATTGAAAGAACTCTTAAGAAGATATGGAAAATATTGTTTCTTTTATATATTTCTTTCAATTGAATTCTCAAGTAGCACTCACGTTTCCTCTACATTTCCTCTTGGTAGAATTTCATGGCCTTTGTGGCATTAAAAACCTTTAATTGGATGATCCACAGGTTAATTAGTCTCGTTCATCAGCCGTCAAATCAGTTATTTTTGTATTCACACAATATTCGTCGGACTGAGGTCCCCTGGGAAGAGTTGAGCCCCGCCTCACTCCAGGCTACTCCCTATAGCATTGAGATTGGACACAATTGATTTGGCTCCCAAAAGGCTTGGTTGCCAAGATTCAAAATGAGGAATGTTTTTGGAACAATTAACATATAGAGGCTGATTTTCAATTGCATGCCAAGGTGGATGGTATAGAGAGCTTAAGAGTTTCTGTTGGCCATTTCAAAAACTTCCAAGAGCAAAACAAAGAAGCCGCTTTCCTAGTCATGTAATGCATCAGATATTTCTTGAAATGTCTATCTAGATATTTCTAGAATTAGGCTTTACATAGTCTTCATGATGCAAAAATCACACTCATAGGGCCAGGCCGTTCACACAGAACACCTTTTTGCGGTTAAAAACCCAAGACGTAGGGTAGTGGAATGAAAAAAAGGTCTAGAGACTTGAGTGACACATTTTAAAGATGCCATGTCGTGTGAGAGCTGCAAAAGACACAAGCTCAAAGATCAAATGTCGGTCTAGCACATTTACATAGAAGAAAGAAAAAATATGGTTCCCCTTCAGGAACTCGAGCTGCGTCGAAATGCTACGGGAACGCCTCCAGCGTGACCACGCTCTGAATCACACGTGTAATCAGTCCAATGGATGGACGAGACGTCACGGGCGGGGTGACGTAGCGACCAGGAAGTATAAAAGCACGTGCGGTGAAACCGGCGTCAGCTTTCTGTCATTCAGCAAGCGCTCTGTGTGTGTCAGTCTTATTTGGTGTTGTCTGTCCATTATCATTCTTTATTTTACCAATACGAGTGTAGACAAACATACGGCGAGAGCTGGTAGTATATCAGGCTGTGTGTTCTTCCCTGCCCGCGCTACATTTCGGGTGGGGATACACACAGTTTGTGTGCTGTCTGCTAAAAGTGGGAGCAAAACACGCAGAGTCAGCTGACTGCCCGTATTGAGAGCGTTTGTCACTGCGTATGCTTGCTCTCCGAGGGCTCTCTTTGAGAAGGGAGTCTTCACCGCGTTTCTCGCGGCGCCGGCCCCGCTTTCGCCGAGGCGGAGCGGCGGCTGTGCTTGTGGGGTTCGCATATGGATCCGGTGGAGGGACTGTAGACGGGCGAGTCCCTATCTTTTTCCTTAACCACGAGATCCTGCGCCCGCTCTCGGGGTTCGGAAGCCCGCGCTGCGGTTCTTTCCCCCCGGTGAGAGGGCTCGATGCTCCACCTGTCTTCCTCCGAGGAGGTTGATGAGGGGGTCGATGAGATCGCCAGTTGCACAAACATCATTACACAAGCATATTATGCCTAATATTATAATGAGCAGCTTTACTGTGGAGCGGAGCTGTTGTACAGTCGCACAAGCAATATGTCAATACGATTATAAAAAGAAAAGACTCGCGCAGTCAGCTCTCGGAAATAAGGGACTGATTGTGCTTCTCCCCGCTGAAAGCTCCGCTCCCGCCGGGCACGCTCCAAGGAGTGTGTCCGTGCTTGCGAGCTCGCCGTTCGGTCCCGCTATTGCCGAGGCATTCATTTTCAGTTTTTGATGTGAATCTTATCACACCAGACCATGTTTACTCGCAGTGGCGGCTCCTGCCAATTCTCTCAGGGGGCAAATGTTCGCACACTCTAAAAAATGCTGGGTTAAATACAACGTTCCCGTAGCGTTTGACGCAGCTCGAGTTCCTGAAGGGGAACGTCTCCAGGTTACGTATGTAACCATGGTTCCCCGAAGGGAACGAGACGCTGCGTCTCAGGGCCATACTTTCGGCATCCCTGCCAGCGCTTGCTTCACTCCTGAAGCTGACGCCGGTTTCACCGCACGTGCTTTTATACTTCCTGGTCGCTACGTCACCCTGCCCGTGACATCTCGCCCATCCATTGGACTGATTACACATGTGATTCAGAGCGTGGTCACGCTGGAGGCATTCCCGTAGCGTTTCGACGCAGCGTCTCGTTCCCTTCGGGGAACCATGGTTACATACGTAACCTGGAGACGTTGTGTATGATGTAGCTCATAATCTTATATTGCACAATACTCAACTTTTTTTTTCTTTTGTGGATCTCTGATAGAACAGTCTCTTAATCTCCAGGAGATTTGAAGATTTGTGTAATTGCTCAGTTTTGACATAATAAATGGCTGCAACCTTTAGCTAAGATGTAAGTTAACCAGTCTATACAGTCTGTTCGATCGGATTTTCCTGTTGCCACTTAAGCTTCCTGTTACAATAAGCTCTCAGTTCCAACAGAAAGTATTTCTAATTCTTAATAAGGAGATATGAGTGGTCGACTCCCAATCACCTCAACATTAATCCCTGTAAAAAATATATAAGCCACTTTGTCAGGCCCATAGCATGATGTGACTCTCTGGCCTCGGCTTATTATCTTGTCATAGATTAATGCAATAATTATATTTTAACTGATTTAAATACTTAAATGTTAAATGTATTTTTTAACTGTGTTATTGTGCTTAGAACGGCAAAATGTGACTCTCTGGCTTTACTGTTGAAGTGGTTCGGTGGTGTTGGCTCACTTTCTAACCAGACTGTCATTACACCAATCGTCCAGGGCATTGAGGGCTTCCCTTGAAGGCTTGCATGCGCATTTGAGTATAAATAAGTGTGAAGGCTAGAGGAAGAAACCCTGACAGAGGCCACACTGTGTTTAGCTGAACTGGAGCTTTCAAGCATTCTGCCTGTTTTTGTCATTTCCTTTCCCCTTTAATTGGGAACCTCCTTCATGTTTTGTTACTAATTTCATCTGCTCCCTTTGGGAACCAGTAATAATAATTCCATTCCAAATTAGCTCTCAGACTGTGTATTAGTTGCACGTGTCATTTTGTGAATGTGTCTTATGTCATTCTGCTGGACTTTATGATGTAATTATTTCATTTTAACTGTCATATCCTGCTTTGTTGCTGCCAGAACTATTAGCAGAAACATTTAAACATTAAATCCCGTTGTTTAAAGACAATTTTACCATCAACCATTAGGCATACTTGGGGAAGGCAATGGTTAGTTCCAGATGATATTTAAACTTTCCGGACTTTCCAACCAAAGGTATGAATAGAAAAATGACTGTGTTATGTACAGTGTCTTTATTGATGTGCATTAAATAAAAGTTAAGCTCCTCTGACATACAGTTGTAGCTTAAATTATAGTATTTTATTTTAAAGGGGTCATAGGATGCACTTTTACAAGTTGTTTGAACTGAAATGTGTGTTGGCAGTGTGTGTACACAACCACCCTATAATGATAAAAATCCACCCGGTGTTTTTTTTTGATCTTGTTAAATGTTTTCCCCTTTCTCAAATCGATCCGATCTCAGATGCCTGTCTGTGTGACGTCACACAGACAGGCCCCTCCCATGATAGTTTGATTGACAGTAGCGTTTCAGCACAGACTGGACTGGTGTCTTACCTCAGACCCGCCCTGAGTGAGCTGTCATCAGTCCGCCATTGTTTCACCGCCAGAGCAGATGTAGACAAGAATGACTCCTAACAAGCGATTGAGGTGTTCTGTTGTTGGATGTAATAATGAACATTAGTGATGGGCAAATGAAGCCTCATGAAGCATTGAGGCTTTCCTCTGACTGTTTCAGGAAAAGATTCAAAGCTTCGAGAGTGTCAAAAACAGCGCCATCTGGTGGTTAATAAGAAATGTGCCAGCCAAAAGCCTGTGAAAGATGCTCCGTTAAACGAAGCAGCGACCACAAATT